AACTGGAGAAGAAGTAAGGACCATGAAGAGGTAAGGAACAAGAGAAGAGGTAAGGAACAGGAGAAGAGGTAAGGAAAAGGAGAAGAGGTAAGGAACAAGAGAATAAAGGACCCTGAGGAAGGTAAGGAACAAGAGAAGAGGTAAGGAAACAGCAGAAGAGGTAAGGAACAGGAGAAGAGGCAAGGAACTGGAGAAGAAATAAGGTAAAAGAGAAGACGTAAGGAACAAGAGAAGAGGTATTGACCACGAGAAAAGATGTGGAATAGGAGAAGAGGTAAGAAACAAGAGAATATGTAAGGACCACGAGAAGAAGTAAGGAACAGGAGAAGAGGTAAGGACCAAGAGAGGAGGTATGGAACAGGAGAAGACGTAAGGAACAATAGAAGCGGTAAGGACCACGAGAAGATGTAAGGAACAGGAGAAGAGGTAAGGAACAGGAGAAGAGGTAAGGAACAAGAGAAGAGATAAGGAAAGAGAGAAGAGGTAAGGAACAAGTGAAGAGGTAAGGAACAAGAAAATAGGTAACAAACAGGAGAAGAGGTAAGGACCTAGAGAAAAGGTAAGGAACAAGGAGAAGAAGTGAGGAACAAGAGAAGAGGTAAGGAAAAAGAGAAGAGGTAGGGACCACGAGAAAAGATGAGGAATAGGAGAAGAGGTAAGAGAACAAGAGAAGATGTAAGGAACGGGAGAAGAGGTAAGGAAAAAGAGAAGAGGTAAGAAAGGTAAGAAAGAGGAGAAGACGTAAGGAACAAGAGAAGAGGTAGGGACCACGAGAAGAGTTAAGGAACAAGAAAAGAGGTAAGGAACAGGAGAAGAGTTAAAAACAAGAGAAGAAGTAAGGACCAGGAGAAAAGGTAAGGACAATGTGAAGAGGTAGGAAACAAGAGAAAAATTAAGGAACAGAAGAAGAGGTAGGGACCACGAGAAGAGGGAAGGAACAAGAAAAGAGGTAAGGAACAGGAAGAGAGGTAAGAACAAGCGAAGAAGTAAGGAACAAGAGAATATGTAAGGACCACGAGAAGAGATAAGGAACAAGAGAAGAGGTAAGGAACAGCAGAAGAGATAAGGACCATGTGAAGAGGTAAGGAACAAGGGAAGAGGTAAGGAACAGAAGAAGAAGTAAGGGACAAGAGAATAGGTAAGGAACAGGAGAAGAGGAAAAGAACAAGAGAAGAGTTAAGGACCACGAGAAGTGGTAAGGAACAGAACAGGAGGTAACGAACAAGAGGAGAGGTAAAGAACAGAAGACGACGCAAGGAACATGAGAAGAAGTAAGGACCACGAGAAGAGGTAAGGAACAAGAGAAGAGGTAAGGAACAAGAGAATAGGTAAGGAACAGAAGAGGTAAGGAACAGGAGAAGAGATAAGCAACAAGAGAATTGGTAAGGACCACGAGAAGATATAAGGAACAAGCGAAGAAGTAAGGACGACGAATAGAAGTAAGGAACAAGAGAAGAGGTATGGAACAAGGAGAAGATGTAAGGAACAAGAGAAGAGGTAAGGAACAGGAGAAGAGGTAGGGACCACGAGAAGAGGTAAGGAAGAGGAGAAGAGATAAGGAACAATAGAAGAGGTAAGGAATAGGAGAAGAAGTAAGGACCACGAGAAGAGGTAAGGAACAAGAGAAGATGTAAGGAACAATAGAAGAGTTAAGGAACAAGAGAAGAGGTAAGGAACAGGAGAATTGGTAAGGACCATGAGAAGAAGTAAGGAACAAGAGAATATTTTACGACCACGAGAATAGGTAACGAACAAGAGAAGAGGTAAGGAACAAGGAGAAGATGTAAGTATCAGAAGAGGTAAGTACCACGAGAAGATGTAAAGAACAAGCGAGGTAAGGAACAGGAGAAGAGGTAAGGAACAGGAGAATTGGTAAGGACCATGAGAAGAAGTAAGGAACAAGAGAATATTTTACGACCACGAGAATAGGTAACGAACAAGAGAAGAGGTAAGGAACAAGAGAAGAGGTAAGGAACAAGAGAAGATGTAAGTAACAGAAGAGGTAAGTACCACGAGAAGATGTAAAGAACAAGCGAGGTAAGGAACAGGAGAAGAGGTAAGGACCACGAGAAAAGATAAGGAACAAGAGAAGAGGTAAGGAACAGGAGAAGAGATGAGGACCACGAAAAGAGGTAAGGAACAACAGAACAGGTAAGGAACAGGAGAACAGGTAAGGAAGAAGGGAAGAGGTAAGGAACAGATGAAGAGGTATGGAACAAGGAGGACAGGTAAGGAACAAGAGAAGAGTTAAGGACCACGTGAAAAGGTAAGGAACAAGAGAAGAGGTAAGTAACAAGAGAAGAGGTAAGGAACAGGTGAATAGGTAAGGAACACGAGAAGAGGTAAGGAACAAGAGAAGAGGTAAGGACCACGAGAAGAGGTAAGGAACAAGGAGAAGAGGTAAGGAACAAGAGAAGAGTTAAGGACCACGAGAAGTGGTAAGGAACAGAACAGGGGGTAACGAACAAGAGAAGAAGTAAAGAACAGAAGACGCAAGGAACATGAGAAGAAGTAAGGACCACGAGAGGAGGTAAGGAACAAGAGAATAGGTAAGGAACAGGAGAAGAGGTAAGGAACAGGAGAAGAAGTAAGAAACAGGAGAAGAGGTAAGGAACAGGAGAAGAGGTAAGCAACAAGAGAATTGGTAAGGACCACGAGAAGATGTAAGGAACAAGAGAAGAGGTACGGACGACGAATAGAAGTAAGGAACAAGAGAAGTGTTATGGAACAAGGGGAGGATGTAAGGAACAAGAGAAGAGGTAAGGAACTGGAGAAGAGGTAAGGACCACGAGAAGAGGTAAGGAACAGGAGAAGAGGTAAGGAACAATAGAAGAGGTAAGGAACAAGAGAAGAGGTAAGGAACAGGAGAATTGGTAAGGACAACGAGAAGAAGTAAGGAACAAGAGAATAGTTTAGGACCACGGGATAAGGTAAGGAACAAGAGAAGAGGCAAGGAACAAGGAGAAGAGGTAAAGAAAATGAGAAGAGGTAAGGACCACGAGAAGAGGTAAAGAACAAGAGAAGATTTAAGGAACAGGAGAAGAAGTAAGGACCACGAGAAGAGGTAAGGAAGAAGAGAAGATTTAAAGAACAATAGAAGAGGTAAGGAACAAGAGAAGAGGTAAGGAACAGGAGAAGAAGTAAGAACCACGAGAAGAGGTAAGGAACAAGAGAAGATGTAAGGAACAATAGAAGAGGTAAGGAACAAGAGAAGAGGTAAGGAACAGGAGAATTGGTAAGGACCACGAGAAGAGGTAAGGAAGAAGAGAAGATTTAAAGAACAATAGAAGACGTAAGGAACAAGAGAAGAGGTAAGGAACAGGAGAATAAGTAAGGACCACGAGAAGAGGTAAGGAACAAGAGAAGATGTAAGGAACAATAGAAGAGTTAAGGAACAAGAGAAAAGGTAAGGAACAGGAGAATTGGTAAGGACCACGAGAAGAGGTAAGGAAGAAGAGAAGATTTAAAGAACAATAGAAGAGGTAAGGAACAAGAGAAGAGGTAAGGAACAGGAGAAGAAGTAAGGACCACGAGAAGAGGTAAGGAACAAGAGAAGATGTAAGGAACAATAGAAGAGGTAAGGAACAAGAGAAGAGGTAAGGAACAGGAGAATTGGTAAGGACCACGAGAAGAGGTAAGGAAGAAGAGAAGATTTAAAGAACAATAGAAGAGGTAAGGAACAAGAGAAGAGGTAAGGAACAGGGGAAGAATTAAGGACCACGAGAAGAGGTAAGGAACAAGAGAAGATGTAAGGAACAATAGAAGAGGTAAGGAATAAGAGAAGAGGTAAGGAACAGGAGAATTGGTAAGGACCACGAGAAGAGGTAAGGAAGAAGAGAAGATTTAAAGAACAATAGAAGAGGTAAGGAACAAGAGAAGAGGTAAGGAACAGGAGAAGAAGTAAGGACCACGAGAAGAGGTAAGGAACAAGAGAGGATGTAAGGAACAATAGAAGAGTTAAGGAACAAGAGAAGAGGTAAGGAACAGGAGAATTGGTAAGGACCACGAGAAGAGGTAAGGAAGAAGAGAAGATTTAAAGAACAATAGAAGAGGTAAGGAACAAGAGAAGAGGTAAGGAACAGGAGAAGAAGTAAGGACCACGAGAAGAGGTAAGGAACAAGAGAAGATGTAAGGAACAATAGAAGAGGTAAGGAACAAGAGAAGAGGTAAGGAACAGGAGAATTGGTAAGGACCATGAGAAGAAGTAAGGAACAAGAGAATATTTTACGACCACGAGAATAGGTAACGAACAAGAGATGAGGTAAGGAACAAGGAGAAGATGTAAGTATCAGAAGAGGTAAGTACCACGAGAAGATGTAAAGAACAAGCAAGGTAAGGGACAGGAGAATAGGTAAGGACCACGAGAAGAGATAAGGAACAAGAGAACAGGTAAGGAACAGGAGAACATGTAAGGAAGAAGGGAAGAGGTAAGGAACAGATGAAGAGGTAAGGAACGAGGAGGACAGGTAAGGAACAAGAGAAGAGGTAAAGACCACCTGAAAATGTAAGGAACAAGAGAAGAGGTAAGTAACAAGAGAAGAGGTAAGGAACAGGTGAATAGGTAAGGAACACGAGAAGAGGTAAGGAACAGGAGAAGAGGTAAGGAACAAGAGAAGTGTTATGGAACAAGGAGAGGATGTAAGGAACAAGAGAAGAGGTAAGGAACTGGAGAAGAGGTAAGGAACAGGTGAATAGGTAAGGAACACGAGAAGAGGTAAGGAACAATAGAAGAGGTAAGGAACAGGAGAAGAGGTAAGGACCACGAGAAGAGGTAAGGAACAAGAGAAGAGATAAGGAACAAGAGAAGAGGTAAGGAACAGGAGAATTGGTAAGGACAACGAGAAGAAGTAAGGAAGAAGAGAATAGTTTAGGACCACGGGAATAGGTAAAGAACAAGAGAAGAGGCAAGGAACAAGGAGAAGAGGTAAAGAAAATGAGAAGCGGTAAGGACCACGAGAAGAGGTAAAGAACAAGAGAAGATTTAAGGAACAAGAGAAGATTTAAGGAACAAGAGAAGAGGTAAGGAACAAGGAGAAAGGGTAAGGAAAAAGAGAAGAGATAAGGACCACGAGAAGAGGTAAGGACCACGAGAAGAGGTAAGGAACAAGAGAAGAGTTAAGGAACAAGGAGAAGATGTAAGGACTACGAGAAGAGGTAAGGACCACGAGTATAAGTAAGGGACAAGAGAAGATGTAAGGAATAAGAGAAGGAGTAAACAACAAGAGAAGAAGTAAGGAACAGGAGATGAGGTAAGGAACAAGAGAAGAGGTAAGGACCACGAGAAGATGTAAGGAACAAGAGCAGTGGTAAAGGCCACGAGAAGAGGTAAAGATCACGAGAAGAGGTTAGGACTACGAGAAGATGTAAGGAACAAGAGAAGACGTAAGGAACAAGGAGAAGATGTAAGGAACAAGAGAAGACGTAAGGAACAGGAGAAGAGGTAAGGAACAGGAGAAGATGTAAGGAACAGGAGAATAGGTAAGGAACAATAGAAGAGGTAAGGAACACGAGAAGAGGTAAGGGACAAGAGAATATCCGAGGAACAGGAGAAGAGGTAAGGAACATAAGATGTAAGGAACAACTCGAGTAAAAAAGCATATTGCTCGGAATTGTTCAAGAAACGAGTAGACAAGTCAACAATTTGACAATAGTTGATAACTATTTAATTGTCCAACAGAAGTTTGAATACCGAACACATCAATTGTATTATAATGATGGTTAATTGTTTTTGTTTAGCGGCATATCGACATCTCTATGGGTTATTTAATGTTGAAATATTTTGTACGCAATTTTATGGCTTCTACTACAGATACTTCGTACATAATTTTAGACATTTAAGTTAAACATATGTTTTTTAGATATATACTTTTTTGATGATAAAATATATTGCTGGTATTTTTATCATAATATACTTTTGTACTTTCTTAGTGGACCACCAAACAAGAATCCAAACACTATTTCCCCATAGCTTAGACCCTAAATGTTGCTACTCCCTCGGGTCATGGTGGACCTGGGAAAACGGCAATTAAGAGGTTGCTTCACGCTCGTCAAAACCTCCAATCTCTTGATCAGAAGAAGCCTGGCTGCCTGATGTAGTTTATCGTCATACCCAGGACTAAGTATTATAATGACATGATGCGCATTAATATCACCAAACAAAAGGACCGCCGCATATGAACGTAGGGATAAAGTCTTTACTTTTTCTACTATATTTCGTCTAGAAGGCTACACGCCTGAGAGGCGATAGTTGAAAAACAGATAGCTAACAGTGTGTAATAATGAAAGTCAAAATTTACTTGAAAGACTTATCAGGATAGTCAAGAAATAATCCCCTTGCCATTGGAAGATTTTCCCCGAATATAAACACCAATGGCATTTCGACAAAGAGGAAGATATCCTGGAACAGTGACTTCAGTGACTGAGATAGAAGAGTTTAAATTAGTTTCAAGAATGTTTCAAGGGAAAAGATTTGACACTACAGAAATTGATACTAATACCACGAATGTTGAGGAAAGAAAGGTTGGGAGACTTAAGTGAATTTTTGCTGAGTGCTATACTTTTATTATCTATAAAGTTTGCAGTCATAAGAATTTTACGATGAGATGAAAAGGCCAAACTAACTGTCACTGTCCATTGCTTAAGGCAATACAGACAGACCGGGGGGTGTCTAAGACTAAAGTGTATAGCAAGTACTTGCAGAGACACCTATCCAGGCACGACATTGCACTTTAAAAACACGCTATTCTCTGACTATTGACGAAAGCAGACTCTCTAATCGCTAAAGTATTTGGGTTCCTTGCTATCAGCCGGGATGAACAACCGTAAAAACTGCCAATCCGGTAACCTCTTAATGCAGCCACCGATCAGCTATATATCCAAAGAGTCAAGACGGATTAATTAAGTCCTTGGAAGACCTCATCTAAAACAGAAAAAAAAGAGAGAAGTCTCTACTCCTGTTCAATAGTCATGGAAAGAGTGTGAACCGTGTGGAATTAATTGATAATAGATATCTTAACCTGTTTATAACAAAGTGCTATTTTAGTGACACTCTCTCTAGTATAGTAACCGAACAAGGCTCAAGGCACCTTCCAGGCCCAAGATGGATTATTACTAAAATCTCCGTGGAAATAAATCAAGAGGATGTGTTTTGAAGATTTTTATATTATAGTAATTCGCGTGAATTTCCAGTAAAATGGTTGATGCTACGGAACAGTGAGTACTTTTGTTTGTTTTTGTTTTTGTTTTTTCATTTTCTTTAACAATGATGTTTACCCTGCACAAGACCCGAGAGCCACTCGTGGTATAGGGCTACGGAGTGAGTACATTTTGTTGTTTTTTTTTTCATTTTTTTTACAATGATGTTCACTCTGTACAAGACCGGAGAGACACTCGTGGTATAGGGCAACGGAGTGAGTACCTTTGGTTTATTTTTTTATTTTCTTACAATGATGTTCACCCTACACAAGTCCCGAGAGCCACTCGTGGTAGAGGGCTACGGAGAGAGTACTTTTTGTTATTTTTTCATTTTTTTACAATGATGTTCACTCTGTACAAGACCCGAGAGCCAATCGTGATAGAGGGCTACGTAGTGAGTACTTTTTGTTTTGTTTTTTTTGTCACATTTTTTAAAATGCTGTTCACCCTGGAAAAAAACCCGAGAGTCACTCGTGGTAGAGGGCTACGGAATAAGATGTACAGTAATGTGGATATGTGGGGAAGATAACAGTTAATGCTACACTTGAACAGATTAATGATTGTAGTAATCGGGGGAGCATCATCTTGGGAGTTGGTTCCATAAAGCAGCGGTTAGAGGAAAGACGCTGCTTGAATGGAACTTACATCTCACCAATGGAATACGAAGTGAATGACGGTGGTTCGCTACAATGTGCGTAACATGGTGAGTTTTGGCCGTGACAATTAGGAGTGGTAGGAAAAGTGTTGTGGTGTGGAAGCTAATTCATCGCCTACAAGGACGCGGAGACACTTTTGGTCTCTGTCGAAACTGGAAAGTGAGGACTAGGTAGCTTTCAGCCTGATCTTGCTCTTGTAAACGTAAAGTATAGCAGGGAGAATCAGATACTTACTCGGGCGGTACAGGGAAAACGACCATTTTTATTCCAGTATCCTCATCGATGAATCGTATGTACGAGTTCTACTTGAGGTCTGGCTCGATTTCAAGACCCAACAGGCGTTCAAAGCACGAAGCCTCCCTGAGAGGACACCCGTTCATAGTGATCACTGAAAATTCAGTGTCCGCTCGATGATGATGAAAAGTCACTAGTTTGGTTTTCTAGGCATTCAATGTGATCAGCCATTTTTTCCATCACTGAGCTGTTAGAGCTAAATCAGAGGAGAGATCAGCTGCCAATCTCTGGTCATCTCGAGTTTTGAAGGTATAGCTGTATACCGTTGTATCATCAACATAGATATCCACAAATGATCGGAGTATACTCTTGGTTTGTTTTTTTTTCCGGTTCGTTTTTTTTTATTATTGTTTAATTTTGTTTATTTCTGTCATTTTTAATTTGTTTTCTTTTGTCGAGGAAAGATTCCATGAGTCACCATTTGTTAAATAAAAGTGAGAGAACGGGTTGCTGTGTGTTCAAATCGATATTTATTTAACGTAAAATACACAATTTCTTAACTGTAACTATTATCACGAAATAAAAGTTTGTATTTAGAAAGTTCTTCTCTCTAACTTAAATGGAAATAAACATAGTCTTTCAGTGAGGAAGCGAAAAAGTGGATTTTGGAGATAAGATCAAAAAGAATCCGACTTTTCTTTGGTCAGAAAGACCGGACGACGAGGTTGGCTCGTGTCTCTTTACTGCTCTCGGTCTTTTGGCTTGGTTGAAGGATATCTGGTTTATATGGCTTCGCGTAGGGTTCTGAAGCCTGTGTTTATTTGTTGGCGGGATCTGGTTTTATTGGCTATTCTTTATTTTTATTAATATGAAAATATGAAATATATTTGAAACCGGAAGGCTGCGCGGAGCCTTTGCGTGATGTGCATATTTTGTCATTTGATCTTTTGATTTGAAACAATTAACTTCCGTTTAGACTACACTTATTTTTTAATTTACTGTTTCTTCCATTCTTATTTTGTTTTTTTGGTTTTGGGGGATTTTTTTTTACTGAGGAATGAATACTTTTCTCTTTCTCTGAGTGCGTAAATTCATCAGATTAAAACAATGTGTATACCAATGACTGAAACGAAAAAGAAAACCAAAAAATATCCCCATTTCTTATGCATGATGCCAGTGTTGTATTCCTAATTAAAAGAACAACAGAAACGAATTGTTCTTCCCCCTTTCAACGCATATTTACCTCCGCATTGATACTGGTGAGAATTCGACAAATTGCACTCAAATATGAGATTAATGTCCTTTACTAATTAAATCTATTCACTTGGCAAAAGTATATTTTTTTGTAGGAGAACGAGCTTGCTGCATAATTCGTTTTATTAGTCATTGACAGACAATAAAATCATACATGCTCACTTTGTGAACTCGTGAAAGATCCGAAAAGGGAACAAAGTTCTATGCATTACAGGAGATAGGAACGTGCGTAGATTTATGAAAACAACATACAATCGTGGTTACGGAAGTCCTTCATATTTGGTTACTGTTTCTTTAAAAGAATGAATCAAATTTTCGTTTTTGTTTCTACGGGCAAACGATTTCTATGTTATCTCTATAGCGATGTCACTCCATTTAGCTCTTTTCTAAACCAGAAAAATAAATATCTAACAGTATCCATTGGAGATGTCACCTTTTCTTCTTCGATCTCCCGTGTCCCTTCATCACGTTGCCGATCACTGCTCTCAATTTCCTGTCCATATTTTATTGATTAATTCATTTTATACGGTTAATCAACACTTTTCAGGTTATTTAAAGGCAAAAAAAATATTTCTAGTAAGAATTTTTGTGGGGGAGATAATCATGATTTAGTATTACAAGTCTTACTAATTAACCCATATCTGGGAGGAGAAGTGGTTCATTCATACCTTTCCCAAGGGTATTTGTGCGTAAGTGAATATAACGAACCCAACTGAAATTGGAACTCGGCTTTCTGATTAACAATTCCGTGCCGTTATCCATTACACTACCCGCATATCCAAGCTTTCAACACCTGGTATTGCTAAGCGGTCACCCATCTTGGTACTGAACAGGCTCGACGTTGTTTAACTTCGGTGATCGCACGGGAAAAGGTAATTTCAACGTGATAAGTCTCTGTCCTGTGTCTTTCTTCTCTCAGAAAACCATGTTCCGCCACCCATTTACTCAAGCTTGCTAGGTAGGGTATGCGTTATTTTCCTCTTTCAATTTGGCCTACCACTTCTTATTTGGCAAAGTGTCAAGTGTATAAATGGATGAGTACAGTCAATTAGTCGGAATGCTTTTGCGTAAAGTAGCGTTTTCAGCACACCCTCGTCCTAAAATTCGAAGTGGAAAACTTGATAACCAGACGTGGGAGGCGCAAATTGTTTGTGAATGACACAGACTGAACTGGAGTCATGGTTAAGTGGCTAACGTTACTTTGCAACTTGATGTTACTGTTATATATTGCTTCTGGACTCAAATAAAGTGACGAACACTTATATATAAAAAATATATATCTTTATTGTTCGAGTCGCGACGATTGGATAGAGGAAGAATCACAGAGGTTAGGGTTGCGCACACAGAAACTGACAAATCTTCGGTGAAACTCACGCCTGCGTCTCTGCTAGGCCAAGAATTGGACCCGTTTTATAACATTTGGACACCCACACAAATTCACGTAACTACACCTTCTGTCACCTCCACAACGTCTTGTGGCTACGCCTCTTCCGGCCATGTGCCCATGCAACTTCGTGTGACTAGGCCTCTTCCAGCATGCACCCACACAAGCATGGATTTCCTTCCGCTCTGTTTATTTTAGCCACCGGAAGCATTTCCTCTTTATGCTATTATAGCGGTATTGAACGGCCTCAATTCAATCCGTACATTTTTTGTTTTACTTTGCAAATATGATAGCAAACAATAAGCAAACGAAAGAAACAACACAAAAACTGTTTTTATAACAATCTTCATTTTACTGTATGACATACAAAGCAATCAAATATGTGATTTTATATAGTAAGAGTTGCAATTAATAGCAGGACTTATTTATATTTATCTTGAAATTCTTAAAGCCTTTTAAGAGGAAGTTTTTTTGGGTTTTTTTTATCTGAACTCACCTATTAAATATTCATGTCTCTTTATGGCTTGGATGAAGTACTTATTGCAATAACGTTCTATAATAAGTGAAATAAATGTTTAATTGAAAATATAAAATATTTTTTTCTAAACGTTCCAATGGAAATTACCGTAATAATAAATCGCTAACATTTTGTACTTAGGACACAAGTCTACAACATTTCCAACGGATAATGCAGTGAATGTAAGGGAATTCTCACTAAGAGTTTTTTTTTCAAATGTGTTTTATATGACGTTTTGATATTTCATTAGGCTGGAAGATTGTGACCTACAAAGACAAAATGCACGTCATAAATTTATTATTTCTTAATCGAAATTTAAGCGACAGCCTAGAAATAAAATCGAACTATATAAAAGTTCATTAAGTATATACATCAACACGCCATACAAAAGTTGACACAAAATCAGTTTGCATTGGAATAGCGAAAAATACCTTCTAAAATTGTTATATAGAAATAAAGTGTCACTGCCGACACTGCAGTTTGAACACAGGCGATTCCATTTGAAATAAGTAGATCACATGATATTAAAGGAAATGTATATATGATAATTAGCGTGACGTCTAAATGATCACCATTTCTATTCTATCCTATATTACTATACGGATCGCCGTTCTCTACGCTATACACTATTTCTATTCTTTATACTGATCACTATTCGGTGATTACTATTCGAGGGAGTATTATCGATCAAGTACTATTAGTCAGAGTGTTATTCGAAGGCGTCTGATACCAGCATTGTTCAGCGGCGTTGCTATAGTTGTATCTGCGATTACAAAGTCTCTACTACAACGTGAATTACGAAAGTGACATCGAGTATTCGTTGGCATCACGAAAGTGGCAACGAGTGCTCCTTGACATCACAGGAGATAGATACATTTATATATTTATCTATTTATTTATTGCAAATACAGCCACGGTAAAAATATATGTTATATTTCAATTCATTTGAGTGAGTTTTTTTCCTTCTTTTTTTACTCAGTTTCATCTAATGTCAGGCTCGAGATAAACTCAAAATAGAGGTTTACAATCGAAACAGTAATGATGAATGAGGTGTGTGATATGAATGCAAAAGAACGTGGTTAGAAATGGAGATTTTAAGAATAAGGAGAATATATACCGATTTACCTTTGACTTGATGTGGTTAAAATAGCAATCTTGGAGAAAAAAGCTGCCTGTTAGAAACTTTCTTGTCATATTTGGAAAACGGAGGAAATAAGGTTGATCCGAGTCCGTAGCGTGTCCTAACACTATACGGATTACTATTCAGATCACTATTCGATGGTTACTATTCGAGCGAGTATTATCGAACAAGTACTATTAGTCCGAGTGTTATTCAAAGGCGTCTGACACCAGTATTGTTTAACGGCGTTACTATAGTTGTATCTGTGATTACAAAGTCTCTACTACAACAAGCATTACGAAAGTGACAACGAGTATTCGTTGGCATCGCAAAAAAAGATAAACGAACGTATTAAGAAACAAAATATTTCGCTACAAACAAAGAAAAAGTGCTGTATAATTCTATATAACTCCTCCTGTATGGCATTCCATACAAGACAATTTCCTCACAGATGAACAGAAGACTGGAGCCAACGGATATGTGGTTCCACAAATGAATACTGAGAATAACATCAAATTCAACATGCGTGCAATGAGGAAGTTTTAATGAAAATGGAAACTAAATGGACACTTAGAATCAGAAATATGTAGTTAAAATTTCTGGAACACATAATGAGGAATGAGAGCTTGGAGATTATGACACTCACAAGACATAATGGAAGCATGAAGATCAGAGACAAGTAAACTAAAATTTTGTGTAAATGGATGTTAGAGTGGGAGTAATGGCAAAAATATTAAGCAAAGTCAAATATTGCTTAGAGCTAAAAAACATAGAAAGCTGTGGCGAGTCATGACCGCACATGTCCTGAATGTACAAGATTGCTTATTTAAAGTACTCTTTACACCGCAAAAAGTTAAAACCTGTTTATCCAATAGAGCCATTCGATTTAGCCACTAAGGTCTTGACCTTTTTTAGTCTCATACCAATTCAGTCAGTAAAACAAACATGAAAGGAAATATTGACAGTTTAATACTGACTCCTTTCACTTCGTATTAATAGCAAGTTTCGTCTTTGATAATGCAATCTTTTCCATCTACTATAATTTCATTTTTGTCTCCGGTCAACATATTAAGTGTTCCTGACTAAATATTCTTGGTTTTCATATAGAGTTCTTTGATGTAACAAAGACGAGTAATGAAAAGGAAGGTGTTTCTTTTTTTCTCCTCTTCTTCTCCTGAAGACTTCATTTGGTAAAGCGTCTCGTTTCCCGGAAACTCTTTTCCATCCCCGAGGAAATTAATATTTTCGCTTGTAATTTCGTCTCAATTTTTTCACTTAATCCTGCCAAAATAATATATTTTATTCCGGAAAATATATAAACATCACGATATATAATAAGACAGTTATAGGGCAGTAGTTAGCAAACCAGCCTCGATAGACACGTACTCGGTACGCTAGAGAGTTCGAGTCTGAGAGAGAAATTCCATTTTATCAAAGCTACGCTTAAGATACATATATATATATATGTGTGTGTGTGTGTGTGTGTGTGTGTGTGTGTGTGTTGTGTGTGTTTGATAAATTTGATATATAATATATATATATATATATATATATATATAATTATTTATTTAAAAATATGATTCCAACTCGCGACATAAGAGGTCTCATGTTTCAAAACAAGAGCCGACAACTAATATAATATATTTATTTGAGTTAAAGAATGCTCTGTTCCATCTTCAAGCGAAATTTTTTTGTGAATAACTTATTTCAGAAATTTACGTCTTTTAATAATTGAAATCAAAATTTCCATGGTAACAGCTAGGGCGAATTGTTTAAATTGGGTAGGCGTGTGTTGGGTGTTAATAATAGGTATCAGTATAGAGTTACTTTCATAGATGTCAAGTCAGGGTAATGTGGGGGTGTCTAAATTTGAAACGGAAGATGTTTTAGCCTAGTCTGGCTTACGTGTCTACGGAGATTTATTTATGTTTTATTTTATTTCTTTATGAAAGGGATTTGTGCATATAAAAACTGCCGTAACTTTTGTTTTTTGACGACTTCATAAAGGGTTTTCTTTTTGTAGGGTATTTAAACTATTTATTTTGGCTATGGATTATAAAAGTTATCATATTGTATGCTTGTTTTTAGCTAATCATTCAAACCATAGATTTGATGATGACGACAGAAAATCGTTAACTCATGTCTATTGTTTAATAGATTATTATTATTTAGAAACTTAATAATATGCAGCTTCTCATGGAGGCACAAAGGGCATGGGTCATCCCAAGTTTTACATGTTCTAGTCCTGTTTATAATTTTCCAAATATATATATATATATATATATATATATATATATATATATATAGCGTGGCTTTAATAAAATGGAATTTCTCTCTTAGACTCGAACTCCCAAGCGTACCGAGTATATATATATAAATATGTGTGTGTGGGAGAGAGAGAGAGAGTTTGTGTTATTTACATTATTTACACTATTCAGACTGTTATCCTCATCTTCATTGTCATCATTACAACGTTTCGGCCGATTATTGTAGTTCCACGTACCATACCTCTTTCGGATGCCGCAGTTATTTTCCTTTAACTCTCCAATTTTATGGTTCACCACTGCTGTAGCCTGGTATTGAACTCACAACTCGTTGGGTCTAGTCACTAGATCTAACCAACGTATTTAGCCACTGGACCATGTGTCCTAAATCTACCCCGGTGGACGAAATAAAGGTTCCGGTTCGACATTCCAATCACCTGAAGAAGGCTGGAGCGTACAAAGGCCGAAACGCTGTGAATATGGCAATGAAGATGAGGATAACAGTCTGAATAATGTAAATAATCATAATACCTCATCTCAGAGATGCAGACAGATATATATATATATATATATATATATATATATATATATATATATACCTCAT